TTCACTTTTTAATTTTGTCAAAATGCATAATTACAACAAATTTAGTTTAAAGGTCTGGCTCTCATATGTGATTCTAGAATTGAACAACACCTTATTCTATAAAGTAGATTGATTATTCTGATGAACCAAGCAGAAGAGGTTGGCTTACCAGGCAGAAAGGACTGAAAAAAGCAGAAACAGAAGAAATAGGGATTCATCATTTTAAAGTTACTTTCTTTGTAGGGTTAATAGAGGAATTCCTTACTACACTAACTCAAGTTGACTGGAATCTCCTATTTTGTGCAAAACTGGCCCATTTCAAAATTTAATTTGATTATACATGGCACTTATCATAGATTCCATTCTGGTTTGTTCCAGTCCTTTGGGGCTTAGTCCAAAAGGCTAGTCCAAAACACTGGCCTCCCATAAACTTTTAACAATTTTCAGGGCTACTGCCAAGCTCAAAAGATGGGCTTGAGAATACGACAAGTTAAAACTCTACAAACTTTACTACTCTTACCAAAATTCAACTTTTTATTAAATAAATGCTCCTCAAATTGTTTCAAGCATTCTGTTAATGTTCATAATTCTGAAAAACTTGGTGGCAATTTTTGCCAGTTTCCTTTTTGCTTTTATAGAGGAGAGAATCTGAGAGGTCATTACTCTACCATTTTTTCTGATTGTTCCTGAGTCTCTAATCATGTCTTTTTACATGTACATGTAAACATGAGTATGTATCTTTTTAATATTGTGTATAATGAAATGGAAGGCGTTATAAAGTACTTGTACAGTACACTGGAGGTTGTGTTGTTGCCTTAAAAAAAACCAATGTGCAACTGTCAGAGGAGCAAACTAAACTAACCACTTTTATCATGAAAGATCATTTTTACATAACACACTACCAGTTTTATTAAGACATGAATATTTGGCAGATATTTTCTTTAAAAAGAATGAAACAAGAGCCAGGCACAGTTGGTACACACCTGTAATCCCAGCAACTCAGAAGGCTAAGACAGGAAAGAGGATCACAAGGTCTAGGAAAGCCAGCCTCAGCAACTTAGTGAGACCCTGTCTCAAAAATTAAAAAGGACTTGGGATATGGCTCAATGGTAAAACATGCCTGGGTTAAATCTCCAGTACCTCCACTAAAAGAGAGAGAGAGAGAAAGACAAAGAATTAAAGGAGCCTGTCATGTCAAGAAAAAACACAAAGAATTTGATATCAGTGATAAATTTAAAGTTTTCAAGCAAAAGTAGGAATTAAAAACTGAGCATAGTGATGCACACTTGTAATCCCAGTGATTTGGGAGTCCAGAGCAGGAGGATCACAAGTTTGAGGTCAGCTTCAGCAATTTAGAGAGACCCTGTTTCAAAATAAAATAAATAAATAAAAAGGGCTGGGGATAAAATTTAATGGTAGAGCACCCTGGATCTAATCCTTAGTACTGCCAAAGGGGGGAAATTGGGAGAAGCTTGTATTTATTATGAAGAATTTGATAACTTTGGAGTGCATGTTTTTCTGATGAGATTGGTGATGATGTTAACAAATGTTATGAAGTGTGTTAATGTTTGAAAGATCTGCGTAATTCCATGAAGGTTTTCTGAGTGATCAGTCTATAGTGTTAACAAAACCATGCATAGGTAAAAACTGTTGTCAAAGTTCAAGATAGACCATTGGATTTTAATATAAAAGGGTTCAGGGTGTTCACAGATAGGGTTCCAGTTTTCAGATTGGCACCTTCAAAAAACTACCACCTGCAGGGCATGGTAATCCCCAGCCACTGAGGAGGCTCAGGCAGAAAGATTGCAAGTTCAAGGCTAGCCTCAGCAACTTAGTGAGACCCTATCTCAAAATAAAAAATAAAAAGGACTGGACATACACACGAATTGGTGTGAATATACTATGTATACAACCAGAGATATGAAAAATTGTGCTCTCTATATGTAATAAGAATTGTAAAGCATTCTTCTGTCATATATAAATTTTTAAAAAAATTTAAAAAGGACTGGACATAAAGAAAAATGAGATTATGTCATATGCAGGAAAATGGATGGAACTAAAGACCGTTATGTGGGCTAGGGATGTGGCTCAAGCAGTAACACGCTTGCCTGGCATGCGCAGAGCACTGGGTTCGATCCTCAGCACCACATAAAAATAAAATAAAGATGTTGTGTCCACCGAACTCTAAAAAATAAATATTAAAAAATTCTCTCTCTCTTTCTCTCTCTCTCTCTCTCTAAAAAAAATAAAATAAAATAAATACCATTATGTTAAGTAAAATAAGCTAAACTCATAAGGTCAAGGGTTGTATGTTCTCTTTCATGTGCAGAAGGTAGAAAGGAAAAAGGAAAAGAAAAGTGAAGTGAATCTCTTGAAAATCAAAAGATCAATAAAGGAAAGGACCAAGGAGTGGGAGATGAGGAGTGGGGGAAGTGATGGGGAGTGATTTTGACCAAATTATATTGTTATATTGTGTGTGGATGAATAAATACCATCATTATGTACAACATAATATACACCAATAAGACAATGTGGAGAGGGAAAAAAAGAGCCAGGGACCACCAAAGTGCATCTTACTCAAGCATTCATACTCCCTCTTCCTTTGTGTGTGTGTATCCTGTTCTATTGTTTGCTTTTTTAAATAAATCTCCTTGCATTCCTAAATAAATCTCTGCTTGCACCTCAAAAAAATGGGAGGCTGGGGATGTAGCTCAGTGTCAGAGTGGTAGACTGGTAGAATGGGAGAAGAACACAACATATACTACTTGTTGAGATTTGGTGTAGTAGCAAAGAAGAATACTGATAATTATCTGAAAAGCTACTACAAGACTCTTCTTTTTCCAACTACATATTTCTGAGGTCAAACTTTCTTCATGTATTTCAACTAAAATAAATATTAGAGTGCTTGCCTAGCATGCATAAGGCCCTGTGTTCAATCCCCAGCACTGCAAATAAATAAATAAATAATATGTCACAACTGATTTAGTTCAGGAGAAAATATAAGAATTTAGCTGTCATCTACTGATCTAGGCATTCAAGAGCTATATAAAAGCATAAAACAACAAAACCCTTTCCACTATTTTTCTTGTTTTGAAAAATAGTTATTTTCATAAAAATATTTTATGTATATTAATATATAATGGGCTGGGCGTGGTGGAACATACCCGTAATCCCAGTGGCTCAGGAGGCTGAGGCAGGAGGATCTCAAATTCAAAGCCAGCCTCAACAACAGTGAGGCAGTAAGCAACTCAGTAAGACCCTGTCTCCAAATAAAATACAAAATAGGGTTGGGGATGTAGCTCAGTGGTTGAGTGCCCCTGAGTTCAATCTCTGATACCCCACAAATATATAGCCTTATTTTAAGCAATTAGCATGTATATAATTTAAGATTTTACATTTGTGTTTCAATTATGGTAAATATCAAGTTATAACTCATATAAGCAAAAGTTCTTTGAGGTGCTTAATAATATTTTAAAAGTGCAAAAGAGTTCTGGTTCTGAAAAGTTTGAGAACCATTATGCTAGTTGTTCTAATGAATGATCTTTTAATCACCAAGAGAAGACCAAATGATATATAAAGGTGGCTACCATTTAGCACTCAACTCAGTTTTCTATTCATTTTAGTGCCAATATTTTTGTGTGGCCCATATAAAAAAGCTGCTCATTCCCATAAGCAAGATGGTGAGAGTTACTTGATCCATAGAGAACATTTTAGGGTAACACTTTTTGCTGCTTCTTGAGTAGGTCATGTCTCATAGCCTTTGAGCATGGTTGTTTCTTTTGCTTGAAAAGCTCTCCTACACTTTCCCTAACAATCCTTATTTGTTGTTCAGAAATTTTGACTTAACTATCACTATCTTAGGAAACCCTTCCCTGACTTATGCCTCCTAACCTTCTATATCCTCTAGATTTGATCAACTCAATTTCTCTTGTAGGTTCATGCACCTTTCTTTATAGTGTATATCACGGTGTATAATGATGTATCTTTAGATGGTTTGATTAATGCCTGTCTCCCCTCTAAACTTAAGCACCACAGGACAAATTTCTTTTTTGCTTACCATTTTACCATCAATATCACAGTGTTTGGCAGTGTGTATATATATAAATATATATATATATATATATACACACACACAGAATGAATCAATTATTTTCCAATATGAAAACCACATGTTGAGGCAAGGAAGAGTGCATTTTATTGATTGTTAAATCATTTTAACTAGTCTTTCAGATTATCGAGTGTTCAAAACAGTTTCTATTGTATGGATTTCCTAGTTTTTTTTTTTTTTAAAAAAAAAGGTATCTCAGCAGTACAGTCATCCTGAAAGAAATTAGATTGCTTGAGTCCCCTACACAGATGTCATTTCCCAAAATCTTCTCCCAACTCATGTTTCTTAGCTTCCTAGCTTACTTTTTTTAATTACAGGAATACTTTTACTAATGGTTATGCTGAATTTTTCTCTAAAAATATCTTTTATTAAATACAGGAGTAGATTGGATTCATGTTTTATTATTTCTTTTGGGACTAATGGTACATTTTCCAACTTCAGAAATTGTTTTTAAGACCACAGAAGTATCAGATTAAACTAATGTGGTGACTACCTCAGGACAGTAGTATTTTATTCTGTTTCCCTTCCAAGAATGTAACTGTTAAAAATTATTACAGTTATTTATTGTTCACTTTACAATTTATTAAGTGAGGGGATTATATTTCATTCTTCTTCCAGCTGAGTAATAGTGTATGTGTGTTTTTTTGAAGCAGGCACAAATAGTTTTTCATATTAGGGCTCTAGATTTTGGTCCTATTTTAATTAGGAGACCTTTGAGATCTGGATAAAGGAAGCATATTGTCCTTTTGATAGCCAGGCAATATTTGCAAAATCTGTCTAACCATAGAGTTACAAATTCCTTTCAGATAAGTTAGTATACTTTAAGAGCAGTGCTTTCAGAATTTACAGCCTTTACTTGAGAACATTCAGTGTTGATCTTATTGCTGATCTCAAATGGTTTTGTTTTACACAGAAACAAATGGATATCAATGCTGCTATTCAAGCCTTGATTGAATCAAATACTGCTCTACAGATGGAGGTAACATATCTGACTTTATTTATATTGGCAATATCAATATAAAAATTAAACAGGAATTTTTGGAGGCCAAAATGTAGCATTATCTCAAAGACTATATTTAAAACAGATTGAAAACATGAACCCATTTTCAAGGACAAAGTATAATTAAACATGATATGCATAGGATATTTTATAAGGAAAATAGTTAAAACAAAAATGTAATGTTGTTAAGGACTTACATGTAAGGAATTTGGTGCCATTGAAGAAAACAGTTAAATGAAATTAACTATATTTCTTAAAATGAGATAACCTATCATCACCTTTATTTAAACTTGTTTTATTCAAAGTGTAACTTAAAAAGCATTATACAGTAGGCATAATAACTCTTTTTAAGTCTATATCAGCTTGAAAACTAAACTTTCAAGTATAAATTTAATCTCTTTGTAGGATCAAGGTCAATAAAACATATACTATATGTTATGCTTAAGTATAAACCACTCTTTGCATCCTACCCCCAAGTCACTATATACAACTAGGAACACAGTTTTCTTCCATGATAGTCATTAGGGTTTTACTGCTTATATGATTCTTATGATGACTTGGCAGAGCTACCAGAATACTGAAGTGACTTTAATCGACCACAGTGCAGAGATATTCAAAACCTTGAACTACCTTAGCAATTTACTACACAGCATCAAGAATCCCCTTGGCACAAGAGATAACCCAGCACGAATCTGCAAAGATTTGCTCAACTGTGAACACAAAGTATCAGATGGTAAGTTCTTAGTTTCCTCAGAATCTGATTGATGTCTAACTTAATTCCATCATTTCAGTGCATTTGAAATTTACAAAACATTCATTCCAAACTTTAGTTATTTTGATAAAACACTGGCAGAAGCCATTTTAATGTCATAAAAACAAAAACAAATACCCAGAGGAAGAGATATTTCTGATGTCACCCCATTCCTAGCTATATCATTTGCTTACATTTTGTATTTGGAATGTATCACATTCATATTAAAAATTAAAATATATAAAGCTGGCCTTTGGGTTGACCAACAGGAGCATCTGTAGAACTTGGTAATACAGGACCACCAAAGTTGACAGTATCATGAAGGATATTATAAAGCCCCTTCCACTATGCTTTCTAACAGTATAGTTTTTGTACAAAACAGAATTTAAATTCCCATCCTAGAATCAGTGACCATGAAGATGGAATGGTTTGTAATTCTTAGAAGTTTTTCATCCTTATATAGATAATCTCAAGTGCATTAACAAGGAATGCAAAAACAAATTTAGAGTAAAACCATCAAGGAAAGTTTTTAAACCAAGAACAGCAGACATCACTTACATTGGAGAAACTCTGCTATTATTTTAATTTGTTTGGTCTGAAGTCAACTGTATAATGAATATTATTTCATTTTTCCTAAAAACTCTAGTCTCAATAATACATTAACTATATGATAATTTGAAAAACAACTAGATTATGTTATTTCATAGGTTAGTAGTCTTTATTTTAATTTTAATTTTTATATACAAATACACATGTCACACATTCATTTATATATTCATATCAAAAAACATGCTTTAATTCTAGAAATGCAGTGAAATGTTCACTCTATTTATATTAATAAAATATTTAACTTTTATAGATACTTTCTACCCTATATCAATATAAAAACTAAAATAATATTTATAAGTATAACTGCCCATAATGATTGTAAGCTTGATTCCTTCCCATATTTGAGAGCATAAATTAAATAAAATCAGTATCAAATCAAAATTTAAATTGTGTCTTTTCTTATAGGAGAAATAGCTAAGTGATGTGAAATGTGTACAAAGAAAGGTCTTTATGTCCCCAAATACTTTCATCATTGGAGATGACAAGAGTTATACATGAAAAGGAACAGGATAAAAAGTGGAGTGGAGAGTGTAGTTTCAAATAAAATGGCCTCTCTGAGAAGGTGACATTTGAGAGCAGTAAGAAGGAGAAAAGAGAGCAAACTCCAGGAATCTAAGGAAAGAGCTTTCCAGACTTAAAGCACAAATGTAAAAGCCTTGAGCCAGGGAATATAGTTGGCATGTTCTAGGTTTAGCAGGAAGGCCAGTGTGACTGGAAGAGTATACCTAAAGACTTGTAAGAAACTAAGTCAGAAAGATATCAAGAAACCAGATTGTGTAGGACCTGCTAGACTACTCAAAAGTCTCCAACTTTTGAGAAACCATTGGAAATTTTTTAACAGAGAAATGAAATAAATTGACTTTGATTTTTAAAGTATTGCTCTACTTGGTATAATGCTTTGATTTTTAAAGTATTGCTCTACTTGATATAATGAGGACAAGGGTAGAAGCACTGAGCTATTGAAATCACCCAGGAAAGGGAAAAAAAATGAACAAACCCAGAAGAGATAATGATCAGCTGGATCAGTTGATCCCATGTAATCAACTCTATAGTCAGCAATGGTCAGATTTTGATTCTGTTTTCAAGGTAAAGCCAGCAGTTTTTGTTGACAAATTAGATGTGGGCTATGAGAGATATAGAATGGTAAAAAAATGACTCTAAGCTTTGGAATATAGAAGAGTGGAGTTGTTAGTAGAAATGGAGAAGACATCAGACTTCAAGAGAAGGAACTGTGGACAGAAGATAATAGTTCAATTTTAGATATATTTAGTTTGAGACATTTAGTTTGACATTAGATTTTCAAGTAATACTGTCAAGTGGGTAATTGGCTATTCCAGTAAGAGGTCAAGAGAGGCCAGGGGTAAAAATTATGAATGACATTCATAATATAAATTTCATGTTATACCTTAACTACTTAAGATTACCTAAATTATAGGTAAAGAAAGAAAAGAGGTCTACAAACTGTGTCCTAAAGCAATCTAATATTTAAAGATCAGGGAGGTGAAAGAGAATTAGCAAAGAAAATTAAGAAGAAGCAATCACTAAGATAGAAGGAAAACCAGACAAATGTGGTATCTTGGAAATCTAAGAAAAGGTTTAGAGGAAGGTATCAACTGGATCAATGTCAACAAGGTAAAGACTTAAAAAAAGAAAAACTATTGGATTTAGCACTTCAGAGATCATTGATGACCTTCACTAAGAACCATTTAGAAAAATGGTAGTGATTAAAACCTTATCAGATTTTAAGAGAAAATGATAGAAATGAAGTAATTCAAATTACCTGTACAAAACAAAAATTCTTTTAAATTTAAAAGCATAAAATAGCTAACAAAATAGTGAGGAACTTTCAAGCCAATATTTTGAATATTTATAGTAAAGAACTATGGGTTTTAAGCTGGGTAAAAAAAGAAGTAAACAAATGCTCGTGAGGGACATGAAAAGGTGATAGTATCAATGAGTAGCAGGTCCTGATAGGATCAAAGAATTACTCGAGTCAAGACACCACAGGGAGTAAGCTGAAAAGAGAAGGGAGGCAAAATTATGAAGGAGATACAGTTGCAGGTAATAACAAAGGCTAAGGTATGGCTTTAGAGTTAATAGTTTAAGTTGTGGGGTAGATTATTGGTGGTAAATTAAGGGGGAATGGTACACTGCGAGGAACTGAGAAGCCAGGTTATTGGAAGTATCATTCACATGGATTTATAATTACCAAGAATTCAAAAATTAGGTCATAAATAGATTTTCTGAAAGCCATCACAAGCCAGAAGCTAAAATCTTCAAAAAAAAAAAACATTCATTGATTTCACCAGGAAGGGGCAGTGGGTGATATAACATGATGAGTGTTTAGGGAGAAAGTGGGGGAAAATGGTCTGCAGTTAGCAAAAAGGACAACTTCCAACCTCCAGGCACAGTGTTATAGAGGTTGTTGCAGAAGTTGAAAGGGTTACAAGGGAAGCAGTGTCCTCAAGGGAGAGCCAGTTTTAAGTTAGAACATTTAGGTTCACAAAAAATATATTATGATATAAAATGTTATCTATACTCCACATATCTTAAAAGAAGTTATGAATCCCCATCACTTCATCATTGTACAACAGAATGCCTAAAATCAAAGTATTCCCCCTCATATAACAATGAGAGTTTGCTTGATAGAAAACCTTTCATAAAATTGATATTAGCTCACATAGTAGGAGTAAAGCATGTCTAGGAAGAGAATAGATGGTGAGTAAAGATCTATATTGACTCCCTTAGATCTACGACTGGAAGGCTACATTAGATTCTGGTGAATAATCCAGCAATAATTTCTACAAACTTTAAAATATTCAGAATACTGAGGAAAGGGGACTAAGAAGGGTAGCTGTCCTTTACCCCATTCTTCTATATTTCAACAGTTTAGTGGTTCTCCAGATGTGTTCTGTGGACCAGAATTAGATTTTTTTTCAAAATGCAGATTCTCAAGCCTTACCCCAGACTTAGTAAATTGGTCACTTGGGTGATAAGGCCCAGTCATATGTGTTTTGTCATATGGTTCAAAATTTTCTAAAATTTGAAAATCACTACAGTAGAGGACAGTCCCTACCCTTTATGCCACCTATTCAGCAAGTATGCATTTTGGAGGATTAGTAGAGTAAGAACGAGGAAAATAACTAAAGGATGTTTTTCAAAGTTAGAGGAAGCCCATGGTGAACTAGAGAAATCTATGTGGTAAAGATGAAATGGAAAAGCATCTTACCTATTATAGAAAGTGACATTTGACAAAAACTAGTTGTTTCACCTTTTGAATGAAAGACACTGGGACTGCCTTTTTAAAAAACTCCTATCCTTCATATTTGAAATATAATCCTATTTCAATATTCAGAGTCTATTATTCTGGAATTAAGATGCTAACACAGTGCTTTTCAGTCTAAGTATTTCCTCTAATCTGACTTGAGGCCTTTATTTATTCCTGGGCACTCAGTGGATACAAAGATTGGCAGGCTTACCCTAACTACAGGCACTTCTGTTTTTCCCACTTACAAATCTCAAGAAAGCACAGAAAATGATGGCCATTTAATTGAACATTTTTCTTTCTGAAACCCCAAAAATAACTGTTTTATTCTATTTTTAATTATTAGCATTACTCATAAAGATATGCTTTCATTAGAGAAATTAAAGTTGTTTATATATATACACATATATATACACAAAAAATATTTATGTTTAACTCTATAATAATACAGAACAGATACCTCATTAACTTTAATTTCTCAATTAACTTTAGACAATTCACTTTTAGTTGAGCTTTTGTTTGTGGTATGAAGCAATAAATTCAGTTATTCTATCATTGTGATTATAATCATGAAATGCCCTTAAATAGGTGTCTGAAAAATACAGTTTTCAGTGTCAGTTTTTTACAATTCTTGCAGTTTTCATTCATTCACTAAATATAAATTTTTATAATCTTTGAAGTATTTTAACATGTAAGACTGGGGTAATATATAAAGAGTACATTATTATACATATCATAGTTTATATTTATTATACATATCATGACACCTAAGTAACTTTGCATTTTACTATGAATTAATAGGAAAATATTGGATTGATCCAAATCTTGGATGCCCTTCAGATGCTATTGAGGTTTTCTGTAATTTTAGTGCTGGTGGCCAGACATGTTTATCTCCTATTTCTGTGACAAAGGTATGTATTAAATTTTAGAACATATTCACAGTATCTGTAAACAATTATTTTTTAAAATTTTGTCACTTCACATAATTATGAATTTTAAGCATGAAGTCAAGGTATTCTTCATTCTTTATCATGTATGAGAAACAGGTGTTTGTTTTTAAAAACATTGAATCAGTGACATTTGGCATTTTTATTATGTGTTTTCATGATTGGCTCAGTTTGACTTTTCTATTGATCATGTTTTTTTTATTCCTTAAAAACTTGTGCAACATATGTTGTTTTTATACATGACATACATTAGAAAGAACTGCAGGGTTTGCGATCAGTAATTTATTACCTAAAGTTCTGCTGGAAATTATATCATCTCCATCAATAAAAGAAGAATTTGGCACAACAGCTTGCTCTTTTTGGTGTGGACACAAAATATCCTACTTTAAACATCCACTGAATATGATTTAAAACTTCTTTCAAGTATAATTCTATAAACTATTTAGAATAAATGCAAATGAATTTGGTATAACAATAGATGTTATAACAACTATCTATAAAACCTAAAACTTAGTTTTACTTACATGTTGAAATCAAAACTACACTTCTTTCTTTTTCTGATTAAACCAGTGTGTTAAATTACGAAGATTTATTTCTTATTGGCAAAGAACTGACAAATGTGCCTACTTGTGTGTTTCATCCATCGTAAAAAGGCAGCTGCTAAAATGTATAGTCACCAGCTGCTTATTGTTGAACTACCCTCTTCACAAGTGGGGCGTTTCCTTGTGGTAGGCACTAGATTCTTCCTGAAATAGAGGGAAGGATTCTTCTATTCCTAAGGAAATCATATACTTATAATAAAGAACAACATGATATTGCTACCTCCAAAATATCCACATGATCATCCTCACTCCCTTGGAAGTTGGCTCAGGAATTTTATTTGTGCAAAAGAGATAGCAGCAGTGAGTAGGCCACATTCCAGTTCTTCAGATGGCTGAATCAGTTCTCCCATTTTTTTTTCTGTCCATAAACTCAACCTCAAGAAGTCTGGGAATTGAGGACCTAGTGCTACTTAGGAATGAAACTGCAAGCCAGCAGAGGGCATACTGTGAGCTAGCACTAGGCTAGGTAAATTGCATTTGTCATTTCTAATCCTCATAACAACCCTTATCAGGTTGGTGTAATATCCCACTTTACCAGCAAGGAAACTAAGGCTCAAACAGGTTAAATATTTTACACATTTCTGATTCTGATCTGTAAAATGAATGGATTTATCTTTTTAAACCCTAAGGTTCCTTTTGATCATCCTTCCATGTTTTGATTCTTATGCACTTCTTTTGCCTCTCTTCTCTTTTTCAGGGGTTTGTTGTTGTTGCTGCTGCTTTTTCTTTCCTATTACCTCATAATTGATATTTTATGTTTGAAAATTAGTACAAATTCCTCATGAAAGATATTTCTATTCACTTATATTATGGCCATCCCTTTGCTTGAATGATGCTAAAAGAATAATAATAGTAGTAATAATAATAATGTCTAGAGCTACAGAAAATTTTGCTTGCCTGTCAAAGTCTGAAAAATGTGCCATCAGACTTCCAAGCTCCAAGTTTGTCTTTTTTTTTTCTTTTTCTTGCTACCAGAGTTTGGACCCAGGAGTACTTAACCATTGAGCCACATCCAAAAACCTTTTTTTTTTTTTTTTTTTTTTAATTTTAAAACGGAGTCTTACTAAGTTGCTTAGGGTCTTGCTTAAGGTCTTAGAAAAGTTGCTGAGGCTGACTTTGAACTTGGGATCCTCCTTCCTCAGCCTTCCAAGCCACTAGGATTATAGGTGTGTGCCAACACCCAGCCACTTTTGCCCTTTGTTGTTAATTTGATTTGTTAATACTTCTTCGTGTACTCATTCATTCAATAAACATTTATTAATAACAACATGTGACTAGAACTACTTTGGGGGCTGACAACAAAAAGAATAAATTTTGTGCTTGTCCTTAAAAGTTTTTTTAGTAAAAATTACTCAACCAAGTTTGTAGAGTTTATAACTTATCTTTGGAAATGCACAAAAAAATCTTAAATGAAGGCATCAACAGAAATTTAGATTCTTAGCTAGGCACCATGTCACATGCCTGTAATCTCAGCAACTCCAAAGGCTGAAGCAGGAGAATCCCAAATTCAAGGACATTCTCAGCAACTTAGTGAGGCTCTAAGCAACTTAATGAAACCCTGTCTCATAATAAAAACAAAAAGGCAGGAGATGTGGCTCAGTGATAAAGCACCTGTGGGTTCAATCCCCAGTACCAAAAGAAAAGCATTTCAGATTCTTATGAAAAACATTAACCTAAAATGAATTATATTGCATTGTAGGTAATATTATAAAAATTATCTTCATTTTTATATTATAGGTAGTTGTTCAGTGGTATTCTAGATCCAGTTCACATAGGCTCAAGAAAGCCTATTATTAACATCTCATCCCAATTCCACGTTCAGTGACACAACCTTGGTAGTCTGAAATCAACCATGCTGGAAGTATTTTCAACAAGGAAATCAGAAAATGCTTTAAGTCAACCCCCTACCCCATTACCTAAGAGCCTAGGGTTAAACATTTATCAGCATACCACCAACTGGCACTTAAATTCCAAGAAAATAAGTTTTTTCAGGCTGCCTTTCAAGTACTTTCCTCAAGTTTCCCCAAACTAGAAGTTTCTAAATTGCCTTATCTCATAAACTACATATTGTTTTTATGGTATTAGCTGGAGTTTGGAGTTGGGAAAGTCCAGATGAACTTCCTTCATTTACTGAGCTCAGAAGCCACCCATATCATCACCATTCACTGTCTAAACACGTGGACAAGTGCACAAACAAGTGACCCAGGACTGCGTATTCGTTTTAAGGGGTGGAATGGTCAGATTTTTGAAGAAAACACTTTACTGGAACCTAAAGTGCTTTCAGATGACTGCAAGGTAAGAGAATGACACTTTTAAAATTGTTCAATATGACTAAAAATTGGTAAAACAAAGATGACTTTAATTACAAACTGCAGATACAGAAGGCTAGTAACTTGTAAAGTGCCTGTCTTACAACCCCACATTTTTCAAACTCATTCATTTGCTTATATCTTGTGTTATATAAAATTGGTTATTCATGGGTTTTTACATGCAAAACAGGTGTTAATACTTAAGTTTTATTCCCTATAGGAAATACATATATCTGGAAGGATGGATAAATATACAGATAGATAATAGAAAGATAGAGCACATAAGCAGATTTCTTTCATGTGTTTTCAGTGTTATGATTTGCGATTGGCGCTTTTTAGTTGTATATGACAGTAAAATCCATTTTGACATAATTATAAAAGCATGGAATATATCTTGTTCTAATTCAGTCCCCTATACCTCTTCTTCTCCTTTCCTCCCCACCCCCAACTCCTGCCCCCTTCCCTCTATTGATCTTTCTGCCATTTACCCATAGTTATTTTGTTGTTGTTGTTGTTAGTTTCTTGTGGATATACACGATGGTGAGATTCACTGTGGTATATTCATATATGTACATAGGAAAGTTGTCAGATTCATTCCATTGTCTTTCCTTTTCTCATCCCACCCTTCCTTCCATTCCCCTTGTCTACTCCACTGAATTTTTATTCTACCCCCAACACACATACATACCCCTTATTGTGGATTAGCTTCCACATATCAGAGAAAACATTCAACCTTTGGTTTTAGCTTATTTCACTTTGCACAATAGTCTCCAGCTCCATCCATTTACCAGAAAATATCATAAAATCATTCTTCTTTATGTCTGAGTAATACTCTGTTGTGTATATATACCACATTTTATTTATCCATTCATCTGTTGAAGGGCACCTAGGTTGGCTCCATAGCTTAGCTATTGTGAATTGTGCTGCTATAAACATTGATGTGGCTGCATCACAAAAAAAATATTCAACATCTCTAGAAATTCGAGAAATGAAAATTAAAAACTACACTGAGATTTTACTACTAGGATTCTGTATCTTAAAACTGCATGAAATACAAGTTACAGAAGCAAATCAGTTTTATTTCATTTTGCTAGTCCCTATACAATTAAACATGAGTATATTTGTAGACTGCTCTACTAGTCAGTATTTAAATTGTAGCTCACTTTTCCTATTAAAATTAAGTAATGGATGTTCTATATGTGAGGAAAATGATAGTGCCTGAATTTGTATTAAAATCTGTCCAGGCCAAAGCCTGTGTTTTTAACCTCCATGCTAGGCTGATTTTCACAACCACTGTGTACTTTCTATCTCTTTTTATTTGGGGGTTTTGGTTATTGTTGTTTAACTCATGCCTTTCCTTTTCTCTGAAATGCCCTTCTCTACATCTCTAATCAAGTGAAAATTTTAGGAATACTTTAAGACCAATCCAAATATAAATTGTAAATTGTTCATGAAGCATTTCCTGTCTATTCCAGTTAGAAATGAGGAATTTGTCACTCATTGTTCACATTATTGAGATTGTTAATATGTCTTCTCTTCAAGTAGATTTATAAGCTTGTAGAATTCAGAAGCCAAAATTAATTTATTTGTCTTAATTTAACTTAAAATAAAGTAACCCTTCCATTGCCTGAAATAAAGTAAAATAAAATAAAAATTTTTTAAAGAATTAATTTATTCATCTTTATTTTTTCAAGTACCATAGGAAAATTGAAGATTACATCTTATTTAACTGTGCCAAATATACTTAAGAGTTCAAAAAATATTTCTTGAAAGAGTTAATGAATGAATCCAATGGTGTCTTACTCAAAGAATTCTAGGTCTAGTTATTACACCACGCTTATGACATAGACAAGCAACTTATCTTCAATGAGCTTCAATGACCTTTGCTTTACAATGAAACTTATAACTTAAATAACCTCCAAAATTTCTTCAAACTTGAAAATGTATATCGTGATAATACTGTGATGAGTACGTGAATAACCTTCTTAATAAAAAGCTCCACAAAACTAGTCAATTGTGTTTTCTATTTTGTTTTGTTGAATCTTGTCCATCATAGAACATTTTATGCCACAGAATTTATCAGAAACAAAAGAGCATACAGTAATAAGAGAAACAGGCCTGGAAGAAAAAGGAAAGATGGAAATTGTATAAATGGAGAGCCACAGAATGGAAAAAAAGAAAGAAAACTAAAAAAAGATTCAACATAATTATAATTTAACTACTTCTGACTTAGGCAAGCCTGGTTTTTTCCAGCCAAAAGTACAGGAGTTAAGCCAGCTCATTTTCTTTTACCTAAGAAAAATGCTAACCCTAAAGACTTGGTCACAATTACAGGAACACAGAACAGATGAGTATTAATCATATTAAGAATTGTGCAGCCTTTCCATTCATACATTGCTGGTAGGACTGAAAATCAGTGCAACCAATCTGGAAAGCAGATAGAAAACTTAGAATGGAACCACCTTTTTACCCAGCTATCCCACTCCTCCTTCTATACCATAAAGACTTAAAAACAGCATGCTACAGTAATGTAGGCACATCAATGTTTGTAGCAGTACAATTCACAATTGCTAAACTGTGGAAGCAATCTAGATGCCCTTCAATAGATGAATGGATAAAGAAACTGTGGTACAGATACACAATAGAATATTACTCAGCATTAAAAGAGAATAAAATCATGGCATGTACAGGTAAATGGATGGAGTTAGAGAATATCATGCTAAGTGAAATAAGCCAATCTCAAAAAACCAGGGGCTAAAAGTTTTTTCTGATAAGTGGATGCTAATCCATGGGGGGGCATGGAATAAGTGGAGGAACTTTGGATGAGGCAAGGCAAGGGAGGGGAGGCAAAGGGATAAGAAAGACAGTGGAATGAGGTGGACATCATTACCCTAGGTACGATTATGATTGCACGAATGGTGTGACTCTTCTTCATGCACAACCACAGAAGTGAAAATTTCTGCTCCATTTGTGTATAATGAATTGAATAGCTTTCTATTGTCATGTATAAATGATTAGAACTAATAAATAAATAAGAATTATGCAGCCTTTTAATTCATATCTGGTCTAGTGATCCTCAGACAACAGAAGCAGAAGCCTAGCATTAACCTATGGAAATGAAAAATTAGAGCACAATGTCATTATAAAGAAAGAAGTAAGCCTAGATTTCCAATTATTAATAGTAATTGTTACTATATATTAAAAATTGTTCTAAATATTTTCTATTCGTTATCTCTAATCCTTAAAACAAATCTTCAATGTCTGATGGAGCACTGTCTGCTCAGAATGGCTGCTGATGAAACAGTTACACATGAAAGCCTTGTGTTTTTATTTACAGATTCAAGATGGCAGTTGGCATAAGGCAAAATTCCTTTTTCACACCCAGGATCCTAATCAACTTCCAGTGATTGACGTTCAAAAACTTCCTCATCTCAAAACTGAAAGGAAGTATTACATTGAAAGCAGTTTTGTGTGCTTTCTCTAAAGTGAATTAATGCAGAATTCATGCTGTTGGTCATAATTGCTGCAGAAGGGAAAATATAAACAGAAATATACTGTCATTATGAAATGCATGGAATAAAGGCATTGGCTAAATCTTAAAGAATCTCAGGAAGAAAAGACTTCCTCCTAAGAAGGAGAAAAGGCATTTTTAGAGGACTATGATTGATAAAGTATTTAATTCTTTTAAAATTTTTATTGATCTGAGCTTTCTTATAGAATTCCCTAAAACTGAAAATTTATAAGCATGGAATTCTTCAGGGTATCCTATATTTTTTGACTGAGAGCAAAGTACCCATTAGACAGCTGGAGATGCAGAGCACTGAGGAGCAATACTGGCTAATGCTCCCAAATGTGTAATGCTTCTGTCTAAAAATTGCAAGCCACAGTCTAATATGTCTTATTTTTCCAAATACTAAGCTGTATTCAGGTCCCAATGGACATATACATCTTAGCCAGTGGTACACTACCTCTTACGTGTTGCCTTTTTGTGTTGCTTGGTGCTCTTTCTAAAACATGGTGCTTGTGGCTTTCATGCAGACTGTTTTATTTCATTTTTCATCTTTGTCTTTGAGAGTGTATGTACTGGTTACATCAAGATACGTTTCAATTATTAGTATTTTAAGTTGTTTGGTCACATACCTAATAACAAGTAAAGCAATTATTTATGTGAAGTCCTTGTTTTATTTTAAAATTCTCTTTGTGCATAAGGAATTAAAGCCAACACATCATAACCTGAGCTCACACACAAGAGAATTGGGAGGTCTCTTTTGTTTTTGTGTTATTTTATAAATTGTTGTAAAAAATATTTTAGGCCATCTACATCCAGTAGTAGATTTGGGTTAGAAATTGGGAGTTGTGATATAGTGTTTTAAAAATCCACGATCATCTGGAATGATACTTAGTGTATATATATTTTGAAAAGTTTTAATTCAGCAAATATTTTGAAATTGCTGCTGTTTTAAATTATAAATATTATATTTCTGCTTTGTAGAAATTACATGTTTTTGTAGTGTTCATTAATTTTCTTTTACTGTTCTTTAAATATAATGTGTTAGGACTTGAAAGAATTTAGTTTACCAATCTTGAAAACAACATCCAGGAAAAAAAAAGTCTTTTCTACTTAAAGTAGGTTCAGCCAGTTCAGTCTTTCCTTGTTATCAGAGAGATATTGGTTCTTATTAAAAGAAAAATATTATACCTCTTGCTATATAGAAAATCTGTTTATCTATTATAAAGATGTCTTTAGCCACAGCAAATCCACACTTACTTATCTATAATTAAAAAAAATGTGCTTTAAATCATCTTTGGTTATTTGTTTTTCTTTTTATATTACCTTGTGATTTTATTATGAATGATAGCCCCTCTATCATAGCCATTCTATACCATATATATTTACATTATTAGAAAAACCATTACATACCTAAAAAAAGAATATTGGGCCTGTTTCCTACTTTTACAATATGAGGCCATGGCACAGAAATAAACCCTGACAAAAATGATCAAATGATTTTCAACAGGATGTCAATACCTGTAATCCCAGAAATTCAGGAAGTTGAAGCAGGAGGATCACAAAAGCCTCAGCAATTTATCAATAACCTATGCAACTTAATGTGACCCTAACTAAAAAATAATAATAATAAGGTCTAGAATCCAGACATGATGGCACATGTCTGTAATCACAGTGACTTAGGATAAGTCCTAAGTCCTGCTAAGGCAGGAGGATTGCAAGTCTGAGAACAGTATCATAGCAAGACCCTGCCTCAAAATAAAAAATTAAAAGGGCTGAAGATGTGTCTCAGCAGTAAATCATTCCTGGGTTCAATCCCCAATACTGTTAAATAAATAGAAAATAATAAGTGTTCACGAAGATGTGGAGAAATTGAAAGATTTGTATGTAACTGGTGGGAATGCAGCCACTGTGGAAAAGAGGTTGGTAGTTCCTCAAAAAGTTAATTATTGAATTACCATATCATCCAGTAATTCTACTTGTAGGGATATACTAAAAATATTGAAAGTAGGAACTCCAACAGATATTAGTACACCATTCATAGGATTATTATTCAAAATCGTCCAAACATGGAAACAACCCAAATGTTAATCAATTTGGGGATACAGAGAAAAAGAAAAGATATATTGAATATCAAAAGAGAAATGCCCATGAACAGTTGAAATGAATCATTGGAATATATTGCAAACAATTCATGAGCAATCCAGCCATCACATGTCCTTGCCGTCAAAAAGGAGCCAGAATGGAGGGCAATGTGCAAGCACAAGGAGAACTTGAAATTGCATAACTCCACCCTGACTCCACCTCTAGTAGTCCCTGTATAAATATTAAAACGCCAGACTAAAGGAAGCTTCTCACTAAAGAAAGCCCATGCTGTCTCTTTCCCTTTAGTATATAGATTTTACTTTCCTAAGTAAATCTCACCTGACCCTCCCTAAATTTCTTTCTGCAGTGTTTCTTAAGAACCCTACCCGCTTCCTGAATTAAGGGAATTCCTTGGACCTTCCTCTGGTGATAGTTTCAGTCTATGTATTATACTTTCTATTCCAAAAGTAATAATAATGATATCAACAACAATCACATAGTTCAGAGGCATAAATGATCTCTCTAGAAGCCATTGAAGAAACATAGAACAGCTATCTTGCTATAGGTATTAAGTGATTTTTTTTTTGGAAAGTCAAAATGTATTTACTACCTGCATACAAAAACATTGTACATCAAAAAACCAAAATCAAAAAAAAATTTAAATGAGAAAAAGGAAAAGGGAGAAGATACTCTATTGAAGAGTAACATGTAGTTTATACAGAAGAAATCTTCTGGAAATTATCTTTCAGTAGTTCTGGTTACATCTGAATGGATATGACTAATCCTGTTTAGTGTTTTAACTAAAGCTATGTTTGATTTTTAAATACTGCACACTTTACTAAATAAACCAAACAAAGCCTCCATGTAGGAAGGTCACTGCCAATATCATTCAATATCTCTGCAGATGAGCATTAACAAAAGTCTTCCACTGGTCAACAGATTTTCCTGTACATAAAGCATTTATTAAAATAGACTGGTTTCCAGATTAAACTAAAGAAGAAATTATAGTTCAGTGCAAAATATTTTAGACTGCATTTCATTCTAGATTTCCTTGGGTGAAGAAATGTAGCACATTATTTAAAATGTAAGAAAAGTAGCTAATGCTTTCATAAAGAATATTACCTTAGGACTCCGAACCCACCCACCTCCTTCTCTCTGCCATATTTTGAAAAAAAAAACAAAACAAAACATTTCCTATAGCCAGCAACTTTTTTTTTAATGTTCCATATACTAGTCTCAATACAGTAGGTGTCACAGTATGTTTAACATGATTTCTTCAGGATCCCTCTCCTTTCTGAATTCCAAATGGAGGAACTAAAAGTGCAATGTAAAGACTGGGGATCCATATTCTATCTTTTGGCAAGCTTATACAAGCACTATTGTAAATGTAATGTAAAATAACTGTAAACTTCTTCAGTTTATGAAACACCATTCAGGACTGCTGCTTCTTGAGTGTTCTCTTTTTTTAAGATATTAATCTTTTCTTCTTCTGGAGTAAGCTGTAGCTCATAATTTCATTGCCAAGAAGCACTGATTGGGCCATTTATTGCCTTTTCTGAAGGACCATGCTCTTCAATCACATATTTTGCCTAGCCCATTTTCATTAACTGAAGCTATATCAGATACAATCATTCCATCCATTAGAACAGCATCTTCATTAGTCCTTTGTCTAGGAGACCGCCTACAACGGTTAGTACTATGATGAGATTCACTGGCATCAGTGTCTGCAGTCTGATATGATTCTGTATTATCAAGTAAGCTGTATGGATTGCTGTCTCGATCTTTGAGCACAGAACTGTGGGAGGATTTGCCACCAAGTGATCTACCACAAACTCGACCCCCCTGAAATACTTCTGCCTCTTCCTCCTGGGTATCTCCTGCTGTCACACTGATGTCTGCTTCCCTGATCATCTCCTCCTCCCAATGACCATGGCTTAGCTCTTTACATTCAGATTCTGTTTCAGAGGAGTTAGCTCAGAATTTGAACCATAACTGGAGCTGTAATCAGGGCCCCTATAATATCTGCCTCTTCCATTATAAGACCTAGAACTAGTCTGTCAGAAGCTGTTCATCAATCTGTAGGTGTTCCTACAGATTAGCTGTTCCTCTTCCTTCAGATAAGCAATATAATACTCTAAAAGAGCTTGAAATTTTCCCATGATTTTTATTTAGTGCCAATAAATACAAATGAAACCATCTCATTGTCTCTAGGTAGTTAATTTTCACTGTCACTGTTACTTCAATTCTCACTCAAACCACACTATATTTGTCCACTATTTTTTTAATAACTTTGCCATTTTTTCCAACTACTTTTCCAATAAGATTCCTAGGAACCTGAATAAAATCCTCCACAAATTCCAAGAAACCTCTAACCTTTTTTACAGAATCAGCACTTTCTCCATAGGTTCTAAATGTTCCAGTATCTTCACCTAGTTCAACTTAAGGTAACTTAAGAAACCTTCCTAGCTTGCTGGATATTACTACCATGTGTTCCTATTGCCAGTCCCATTAAATCTTCTCTCACAACAAATTTGTCATGAAATGCTGCTGCAAGTTGTTCCGTGCATTCTAAATGCTTACTGGCCTCTTCATAACTGGACATTAGCATCAACTTTGTATGAATACTTCACAAATGCATGTCACTTAGAATATTTACTCTCTTCACAGTTGCTTCACTGGCAGACAGTATCGTTAGCTGCATGGTTTCTAGAGGGTAAAAAATTCTGCATGCTCCTACTGCTTTTTTAAAATCTTTATGTGCATTTTCATTAGCAAAAAGCCTCTCTCAGATCCTCAAGAACATCAACTGTGCACTTGAAGAATTTTTTTGACAGTTTTATGCTGATAGGCTGAAGTCATTCAAATGTTACTATTTCATTGTAAGTGGCACC